ATAATACTCCTGCACTGCAAAACAAAAAGAGAAAAAAAATCAGGGAGATTTAGTAAACATTAACACAGCAGAAATGAAAATGACAAGAAAACCCATAAACTAAATGAACTAAGTATAGAAAATTATGTGGAATAAAGAATCCAGAAGCACCACAAAAAGACAAAGAAAAATAACAACTATCAATTCATGCATATTTATAATTACACTGAATGTAATTGGATTAAATGTTCCAGTCAGGATATATAAAGAACAGAATGGATAGGAAAATAGGATCCTTAAATATGCTGTCTACAAGACCTATCAGGAGGATGAGGGCAGTCTGGATGGCCATCATCAGTGGAACGATTAGTTGAATTTGGTACACACAATGGAGTACTGTAGGGTGTTGGGAAATGGTGATAATTCTGTAGGGCATCTCCTGGAATGGTTGAGCCTGGGGGACATGGACATTGTATGGGATCAACATTGTAGAAGGTTATGGAGGTGTTTTCTTGATAGAGGAGGCAGTCTGTAGTGGTTGCAGGGAGAAAGGGGAGATGGGATGTAGGGAGGACATATGCTAACATGGGTGACAAGCAGACAATGTGAAGGGGGAGAGAGGTTAGCAGACGAAAGATGAAGATGAAAGGTAGCAGGAGACACATGGAAGAATGCAGTAGTTAGAGTGAATAGTGGTAAATGCTGTTAGTTGGTACATGGAGGGGATTGCAACCATGTAATTACGCAAAGTATATGATTTGTTGAATGTAAAACTGATAATCTGCTCTGTAAACCTTCACAATAAAAACTTAAAAAAAAAAAAGGAATATGCATGTGAGAGAGGGTGAATTCTTGAATACTGCTACTATTAGCCAGATATGAAAGTCATTTGTACAGAACTCTGCCTTCTGTTTTCCCCTTCTTCATCATACGAAGTAAAATGTTAGTCTTATTTACACACTTTTCAAGATAGAATTTTATGGGAGAAATAATATTATCACCTCAGTATGCTTAACCTGACTTTTAGCTATAGACTTTTTTTTTTTTTTTACCATACAAAACTAAAGGAACCATAGGGATCAAGCCTCAGAAACTAAAGGAACCATAGGGATCAAGCCTCAGAAACTTACCATAGGGATCAAGCCTCAGAAACTAAAGGAACCATAGGGATCAAGCCACAGGTGAGGTACTCTGGGGGCTGGGTGATTTTTAGTGAGTTCTTAAGAAACATTAACTCTTGCATACTAGTAATAATTACAGAAAACTAAAAGTAACCACATATATCTGAACATTCATGAATCAAAACTGTGAGTTCTGAGGCCTTATCCAAACCCAATCATCAAAACTAGTTAATTTTTTTCCTCCAGTTAATTATCTCTTGATCTTTGAATATACTAAAAATCGTTTGTTGTTTTTGGTTGGTTGGTTGGGGTTTTTCTTTGTCATTTTTGTTCATTTCTTGGGGAGAATTTTTTTAAAAGCTACAACTATATTAAGTATAGTAATTCTACATTTTTTCCTCCTCTTTTTCTTTCCTAAATAATTCTAAGCAGGGTAATCAGTGAACAAAATGTTGAAAATTGTTCTAAAGAAGGTAATTTTCATTGGTGTTTGCATTCACTCCAGAGCAAAATGGAAATGGTATATGAGTTTTTGAATAGCTGTTACTTTTATTTTGTTAAAATGATTTTCCAAGAAAAAAAAGAATATGCATAAAAAGAAGAAAAATAGATGACTGGGACCTCCTAAAAATTATGTGAATCAAAGGATTTCAACAAAAGAGTAAAAAGAACTCACAAGCTGGGAAAACATGTTTGGTAACAACATATCAGACAAAGGACTGCTCTCCAAAAATTTTAAAACACTTCAATTCCTCAACAAGAAGAATATAAATATCCTGAGCCCCACCCAGAACCTTCTGAGTTGGGACATTCCCACTTGAAAAGACATGCAGACCAAGCCAAAACTGCTGTGAGAACAGAAGATTCTTAGTGAAAGAAAGATCTGCAGAAAAAAAAAAAAAAGAAAGAAAGAAAAAGTGGACTGTTTGGTTGTTTGAATGTCAATCAACCTGTTTGCTTTAAAAGCATCCAGGCAAGGAAAGGCAGCCCATCAGGGAAACCTAATGAGAACCCGTCAACAGTCTAGTATGCTCGCTGGTGATCACCCTGATCTTCTTGTATGTGGAAGTAGGGGAAATGCAGCAATGAAGACATGGGCTGAATGTGGCCATGTTCCATTGACACCAGTTGACCTTGGGATGAGACAGAGAAGAGGAAGGGCTGGCTGGTCTGAAATTTAGGAAGATGTGTGAACTCTTAAGCCCATGGACACTGAAGCCCATGGGCCCTGGGGGCTAGGGCTGAGAGTGAAGTGATCAGATGGTCTGAAGTACATGAAGGTGTATGTGAACTCCCAAACTTGCAGTTTATGCTCATTTGACCTAGCTTGGATGACTAGTTGACTAAACCTTGACCAAATGAAGATAAAAATATTTAATACTATGAGAAATTGTAAATTGCTACAACTGATGAACTGTACTTTTGCTTATGGATGCAATTGCTAAAAATTCCAACCAGAATGAAAGGATTCTTTATATATCAAGGAACAAGCTTGCTTCCTCAGTGTACTGGGTTTATATGAACAGGTAATTTAGACATAAAAAATGGGAGAAGGTATAAAGGAATGAAGTTTCTGGCTTACAAATTTTCATGAGTATGCTTAGTTTTAGAATGAGGATGTCAGGTATTCAGGTCACTGAATAGTTTCCTTCTTTTCCAGATGGATCTGATGAAAGGGTGTGGGGGATGATGGTAATAGGATTTTACTATTCAGTTTTCAGTACTTGTTAGGAGGATTAATTGTGATTGTCACATCTGTAATTGTAGAAGATATGCAACTAAAAGAGGGAAGTATTTAATCTTTCATTCAGATGAACCCAGGACCATAAAGAAGAAAGAGCACAAGTGGAGTGTGAGATTCCTACCTAGAAAAGCTATAGCAGCAGAGACAGTGGCAGAGGTAGTGGCATGGATTGACAAAGCAGCTGCGAGCTCTAGACCCATGGATAGAGTAATCTGTATGCCTGTGGGCAGGAGCCTGGCTTGCAGAATGTGCCCTTTGAACATTTAAATAAATACATATTTTTTGCTATGAATGTGTACATCAAATATTTTTGCTTTGTTCATTTGTGAAATATAAGATGCAAATGGGGAGCCACAGAGAAGAAGTGGGATAATTGTTGTTGCCGGAAGGTTTTAATCACTGAGAGGAAACAAAGTGTATGACTTTTTAGTATAAAGCTGATGATCTTGTCTGCAACCCTTCATTCAATTGGCAATAAAAATTAAAAAAAAAAAAAAAAAGAAGAAGAAGAAGGCAAATAATTCAATTAAATAATGGGCAGGCGACATAAACACACTTCAAAAAAGAAGACATTCAGGAGATCAACAGACATATGAAGATATGTTCATGATCATTAAACACTGTTGTTGTTATGTGTCCTCAAGTTGGTTCCAACCCATTGTTGTTGTTAGGTGCCATCAAGTTGGTACTGACTTGCAGTGACTCTATGCACAACAGAATAAACACTGCCTGGTCCTGGACCAACCTCACAATCATTGCTACACCTTAAGCCATTGCTGCTGCCACTGTGCCAATCCATTTAGTTAGGGATTTTCCTCTTTTTATCTGACCCTCCACTTTACCAAACATGATATCCTTCCCTAGGGACTGGTCCCTCTTGATAAAAAGTCCAAAGTCTGGCCAACCTGACTCCCAAGGAGCATTCTGGCTGCAATTCTTCCAACGCAGATCTGTTTGCTCTTTTGATAGTCCGTGGTACTTTCAATATTCTCCTCCAACACCATAACTCAAATGCATCAATTCTTCTAAGGTCTTTCTGTCCAAATTCACATGCATATGAGGTTATTGAAAATACTATGGTCAGGTGCACATTAGTCCTCAAAGTGATTTAGTTCTTAAAGTCGTCAACACTTTAATGAGGTTTTGTGCAGCAGATTTGCCTAATGCAATACATTCTTTGATTTCTTGGCTGCTGCTTCCATGAGTGTTGATGGTTGATTCAAGCAAAATGAAGTCTTTGACAACTTCAATCTTTTCTCCATTTATATGGATGCTGTCTATTGGTCCATTGGTAAGAATTTTCATTTTCTTTACATTGAGATGCAATTCATACCGAAGGCTGTGGTCTTTGATCTTCACCAATAAGTATTTTGAGTCCTCTTGGCTGTCAGCTAGCAAGATTGTATCATCTGCATATTGCAGGTTGTTAATGAGTCTTCATCAAATTCTGATGCCACGTTTCTTCATAAAATTCAGCTTCTCGGATTATTTGTTCAGCATACAGATTGAATAAGTATGGTGAAAGAATATCACCCTGGCGCACACCTTTCCTAATTTTAAACCATTCAGTGTTCTCTTGTTCTCTTCCAACAACTGCCTCTTGGTCTATGTACAGGATCCACATGAGCACAATTACATGTTCCAGAATACTCATTCTTCATAATGCTGTCCTTAACTTGTCAAGATCCACTTAATCAAAAGCCTTTGCATAGTAAAGCACAGGTAAACATCTTTCTGGTATTCTCCGCTTTCAACCAAGATCATCTAACATCAACAATGATATCCCTCATTCCACATCCTATTCTGAATCCCATTTGAACCGCTGGATGTTCTCTGTCAATGTATGATTGCAGCGGGTTTTGTATTATCTTTAGTAAAACTTTACTTGCATGGGATATCAATGATGTTGTCCAATGATTTCCGCATTCTGTTGGGTCACCTCTCTTTGAAACTGATCTCTTTCAGTCAATTGGCCAGGTAGTTGTCTTCCAAATTTGTTGGCATATATGAATTCGTGCCTCCAGTGCTGCATCAGTTTGCTGCAATATTTCAATTTGTATTCCATCTATTCCCTGTGCCTTGTTCTTTGTCAATGCCTTCAATGAACCTTGGATTTGTTCCTTCAGAATCACTGATTCTTTTTTTTTTTCCTTAGTTCAATTTTTGTCAGATTTATTTTTGTAATATTAAAACATCACACTTTAGCTGGGCAAGATTTAGAGGTTTATTATGAGTCTAGGCAAGACTAAAAGTTCAAAGCAAATTCAATTTTGCTTAAGGGGACATTGTAAAGTAATAAATTCTTGTTTATCACATGCCTCATATGATCCATTTCAAACCATAGAGAATTACATCTTCATGTGTCATTGTTACAAGAGACAATAAACAAATTCGAACAGCTAAACATCTTAAAAATGCACCAGGCTTCTGACGTCTCAAACAAAACTTGAATTTTCTGTACATACTCCCGTCAAATGAAGTTATTTCCTGTACACCACTCCTCTTCTTGCAAACCAATCTTCTATTTCCTTTCATTTGACCTAGATCGGCTACGAGACCTAGAGAAGGATCGGGATGGCTTATGATTTCTCTCCCGAGACAGTGATTTCTCTCTTCTCCTGTCTCTAGAAAGGGACCTGCTCCGGCTGCGAGAGAAGCTTCTCCTTGGAGATCTGCGACAAGGTGGAGGACTTCTTCTACAATAATCATCCTGAGGGCGATGTCCCCAAGAGGGAGGTGGACCACGATTCCGGCTTCTTTTTTCACCATTTGACAATTCCACTCTTAAACGGCAGCCACACAATGTTCTTCCATCTAGCTCTCGAACAGCATCAGCTGCATCCCGAGGATCTTCAAATTCAACAAAAGCAAAGCCGGGAGGGTTTCTAGCAACCCACACACTTCGGAGGGGGCCATAATATCCCGTTCCAATTCAGTCTTGTTGCCATTGTTTCCAAGATTGCCTACATAAACCTTGCAGTCTAAAGGACAGGAATCACGATGCATTTCGAAATATCACGTTAGAAACGCAGAGGCTTAAAACCACACACTCGAATGGATCTTCTCGTTCGCCTCCGACCGGCCACAGAAGAAGCTTAGGCTTACCCGACGTTCACGAAATGGCGGCCAGAATCACTGATTCTTGATTATATGCTACCTCTTGAAATGGTTGGATATCGACCATTTCTTTTTGGTACAGTGACTCTGTCTATTCCTTCCATCTTTTTTTGATGCTTTCTGCATCATTTAATATTTTGCCCATTGTTGTTGTTGTTATGTGCCATCGAGTCAGTACCAATTCATAGCGACCCTATGCACAACAGAATAAAACACTACCTGATCCTGGGCCAACCTCACACTTGTCACTACATTTGGGCCCATTGATGCTGCCTGCCACTGTGGCAATTTATCTCGCTGGGGGTCTTCCTCTTTTTCTCCAATCCTCCACTTTACCAAGCATGGTATAATTCTTCAGTGACTGGTCCTTCCTGACAATATGTCCTAAGTATGAAAGACAAAGTCTGGCCATCCTGACTTCCAAGGAGCACTCTGACAGTATTTCTTCCAACACAGATTGGTTTATTCTTTCGGCAGTCCATGGTACTTTCAATATTATCTTCCAACAAAACTCAAATGCATCAATTCTTCTACGGTCTTCCTTATTCACGGTCCAACTTTCACACGTATGAGGTTATTGAGAATACCATGGCTTGCGTCAGGAGAACTTCGTCCTTAAACTGACGTTTTTGTTCTTCGACACTTTAAAGAGGACTTGTGCAGCAGATTTGTCCAATGTAATGCATCATTTGATTTCTTGACTGCTGCTTCCATGAGTACTGATGGTTGATCCAAGCAAAATAAAGTCCTTGACAATTTCAATCTTTTCTCCATTGATAAATACTACAAGTCGAGGGCTTGAATTTTTTCTTTAATTCCCTCAGTTTGAAAAATGCTGAGTGTTTTCTTCCATTCCGACTCTGTTGTTGTTGTTGTTGTTGTTGTTAAGTGCTGTCAAGTCGATTCCAATCCATAGTGACCCTGTATAGGGTTTCCCAAGGAGCAGCTGATGAGCTTGAACTGCTGACCTTGCAGTTCAAACTGACTTTGCAGTCCAGTACATTATCCTGCAGCACCACATCAAGACTCTATTAGCCATTGTTGTTGTTAAGTGCTGTTGAGTCGATTCTGACCCATAGTGATCCTGTATAGGGTTTCCAAGGAGCTTGAACCACTGATCTTTCAGCCAAACAACTTTGCAGTCTGACGCATTAGCCCACAGCACCACACCAGAGAGATGCGAATCAAAACAAAATGAGATATCTTGTTACTGTTAAATGTAGTCGAGTCAGTTCCGACTCATAGCAGCCCTGTATAGGGTTTCTGAGGAACAACTTGTGGGTTTGAACTGACTACCTTGTAGTTAGAAATCTAGTGCTGATCCTACATCACCACACCAGGAGTCCATTATCTTGCTCCAGTATTAATTGTTGTTGTTGTGAGGTGCTTATGCACAACAGAACAAAACACTGCCCGGTCCTTGCCAATCTCACAAGCATTGCTATGGTTGAGCCTATTGTTGCTGCCAATGTGTCAATTCAGGTCTTCCTCTTCTTCGCTGACCCTCCACTTTACCAAACATCTCCAGGGACTGATTCCTCCTGATAATATGTGTGAAGTATGAAAGATGAAGTCTGGCTATCCTGGCTTCTCACGAGAATTCTGCCTATACTCCTTCCAACACAGATATATTTGTTCTTTTGGTGGTCCATGGTACTTTCAATATTTATCTTCAATACCATAACCCAAATGCATCAATTCTTTTAAGGTTTTCCTCATTCATTGTCCAACTTTTACATGCATATGAGATTACTGAAATTACCATGGCTTAGGTCAGGCATACCTTTGTCCCAAACTGACATCTTTGCTCTTGAACATTTTAAAGAGGTCTTGTAAAGCAGATTTGCCTAATGCAATACATCATTTGATTTCTTGACTGCTGCTTCCATGAGCATTAATAGTTGATCTGAGCAAAATGAAGTCTTTGACAGCATTAATAGCAACATTAAAAAAAACATAAAACAACAAAACCTGGTAAGGCTATGGAGAGACTGGGACCCTCCTACACTGCTGGTGGGACTGTAAAATGGCATAGTGCTTTCTCAAAAAATTGGAAAGAGAAATACTGTATGACCCAGTAATCCTTCTTCTTGGTATATACCCTCAAGAAATAAAAGCCATGATGTGTGTAGATTTATCTACTTGTTCTATCATTTATTGAGAGAGGACTATTTAAGTCTCCAACTACGATTGTAGATTCATCTATTTCTCCCTTCAGTTCTATTAATTATTTGCTTCATAAATTTTGAAATTGTGTTACTTTTTTTTTTACTTTATAGTGAATTGATTCTTTTATTGTCTTGTAATGTTATTCTTCATCCCTGATAATTTTCCTTGCTCTGAAAACTCCATTCAGTTGATGAGCTTGAACCGCCAACCTTGCAGTTCAAATGTCTTTGCAGTCTGGTGCATTAACCCACAGAACCATGCTTAATAATTGAAGGCTGTTAGTTTTGCAATTTATGGGGAAAATTTGTTTTTCTGGGATGCATTTCAAACAGAAATGCTATGTTATTTGTCATGTATTTATCAAGCAAGAATGTCACTTATATATTATGTGCTTTTCAACTTTAGCCCAAAAGTTCTCTAACATGTCTTTAAACACCAACATAATGCATATATACGCAAGCACATACATGTATACAATGCTACTAAAAATATGAAATTGCATTAAATGCTAAATCATTCTGAATACAAATTATGCCACCACAAGGATTCGTGCTTACATTTAGTACATTTCAAAGTATGAATTTTCCTGATCAGTACTTGTTGCTGAAGAAATTGCACCTGTTTATTATCATAAATGGGGAAGAGCTACCTCCTCAAAGTACAGTTGACCGTGATGACATTAATGGAGTAAAGCCTTCAGGGACTTAATTTGTTGGTGAGGCACAACTCAAAATTAAGAAAAACAGCTATAAGCATTCACTAATAATTAGAAGAAAGAATGTACAAATTACGAATCTATGAAAATTGTAAAAAAAAAAATGCAATGGAATGCATAAACATCAATATTAGTGAGCTGAAATGTACTGGTAATGGCCATTTGGAATATGACAATCACATGGTTTACTATGTTGGGAATTAAAAATTGAAGAGAAATGGCACTGCATTCATCATCAAAAAGCATATATCAAGATCTGTCATAAAGTACAATGCTGTCTGTGACAGAATAATATCCATACACCTACAAGGAATACTAGTTAATACCATATATATTTGTATTTATGCACCATCCACTAAAGCCATTGATGAAGAAATTGAAGAACTCTATGAATTTCTTCAGTTTGAAATTGATCAAACATGCAATCAAGATGTGCTAATTATTGGCAATTGGAATGCAAAGGTTGGAAAACAAAAAGAAAGGATCAGTGGTTGTAAAATATGGCCTTGGTGATAGAAACGATGCTGAAAGTTGCACGATACAATTTTTCAAGAGCAATGATTTATTAAATGTAAATACCTTTTTTTAAACAACATAAAAGATGACTATACACATGGACCTCACCAGATGGCATAAACAGAAATCAAATTGACTACATCTGTAGAAAGAGACAGTAGAAATGCTCAATATCATCAGTTAAAACAAGGCCAGGTGCACACTATGTAACAGGTCATCAATTGCTCATATGCAAGTTCAGGCTAAAGCTGAAGAAAATTAAAACAAGTTCATGAAAGCCAAAATAAGACCTTGAACAAATCCCACCTGAATTCAGAGATAGTCTCAAGAACAGATTTGATGCATTAGACACTAAAGACCAAAGACCAGAATGGTTATGGAATGTCACCAAAACCATCATACAAGAAGAAGCAAAGGGTAATCAAGAAGACAAACAAGAAGTACAAGACCAAGACGGATGTTAGAAGAGAATCAGAAACTTGCTCTCCAGCATACAGATGCTAAAGCAAATGGAAGAATTGAGGAGAAAAAAGAGCTAAACAGAAAATTTCAAAGACCATCTCAAAAAGACAAAGTCAAATATTATAATGAAGTGTGTAAAGACCTGGAGTTAGAAAACCAAAAGGAAAAACACACTTAGCATTTCTCAAGCTGAGGAAATGAATAAAAAACTCAAGCCTCGACTTTCAATATTCAAGGATTGTATGAGAAAAGTATTGAATGATGCAGAAAGCAACAAAAGAAGATGGAAGAAATACATACTGCCACTGTACCAAAAATAAATGATGATGTTCAACCATTTAAGAGGCAGCATATGATCAAGAGCCAATGATCCTGAAGGAAGAAGTCCAAGGAACATTGAACAACACACTGGGAATTGATGGAATACAAATTGAAATCTTTCAACAAACTGATGCAGCACAAGAGGCACTCTACCTGGCCAACTGACTAGAAGAGATGCATATTTGTGCCCATTCTAAGGAGATGTGACCCAACGGAATACAGAAATTGGACAATATCATTAATATCAAATGCAAATAAAATTTTGCTAAAGATAATACAAAAATGGTTGCAAACCATACATTGACATAGAACTTCCATAGGCTCAATCAGGATTCAGAAGAGAATATGGAACAAAGGATACCATTGCTGGCGTTCGATGGATCTTAGCTGAAAGCAGAGAATACTACACAAAGGCTTTTGATTGTGTGGATCATGACAAGCTATGGACAACGTTGTGGAGAATGACTATTCTGGAACACTTAATTGTGCTCATGAGGAATCTGTACATAATCAAAGAGGCCTTTGTTCGAACAGAACAAGGGAACATTGAATGCTTTAAAATTAGGAAAGGTGTGTGTCAGGGTTGTATACTTTCACCATACTAATTCAATCTGTATGCTAAGCAAATAGTTGGATTATATGAATAAGCAAAAAGTTGGATTATATGAATAAGAGCAAGGCATCAGCCCATTCTGATTACATGTTCTTTTTCATATAATTCAGCTTCTCAGATTATTTGTTTAACATGCAGGTTGAATAACTATGGTGAATGGG